TACGATTCATCGTGATTCAAAGTCTCAAATGCCTTTACCAGATATCCTGGGAATCCCAAGAGGAATATTTAAGGCAGAAGCAGGCAACATGAAAAGGGACAGCCAGCTACAGATGTTCTTATCCTTGTGAGTGAAAACCTAGGAATACTTGAAATACTCCAGATAGTTATGACTGGCCAGCGAACGCCACAGCAAATACCTATCTTTGTTTTAAGTAAACCATTAACAGAAGAGTCCAGTCACAATGATAAAAACCACACCAGTGTTCTTGGACTAAACTACTTACCCAAACTGGCCAACAAAAACTAAAGCTACAAAAACTGAAATGGTTCAAATACAGGAGAAAACACAGAAACTGCAAGCTTCTATGACACAAACATTTTGAAAGCTGATCTCCAAAACATGGGAGATTTATTAGAAGTACGTCATACTACAACAAAAGAGGTCTGCTCCAAAATTTCAGTCTAAAAATAGCCTTTCTCACAGAGTCCTACTTTGGATGAAAGTTGTATTTAAATTACAATATAATTAAATGCCTTGCTTTGCCCTTTTGCTGGTACTCACTGCAGAAACGGGAAAGAGGGATGCGTTATTTTGAGATGAACATTTAAACACCGCTTGTATGCTACATACTTCCGTGAATTAAATATTTGGGCACTTTAGGCACATTATTAAGACAGTTATATATGTTTATAGGCATCAATGCACATATTTTTTTCCCTAGTCTAGATCCAGACTTCCCTCTGCCCACAGCCACCAAATGGGCCCACAGTGCTGGCTTTCCCAGGCACCCAAACTGGCAGAGAGCGGGCTCAGAGACAGGTACGCAGCCAGGAACAGGGCACAGGACAGGTGTCACCGTGTCACCGCACCCTTCCCGACACCGTCCTGCATGCCTCCCGAGCTGAAACCACCAACCCCGACCACCACGTCCCATTTGCTGAGGATGGGACCGCTGCAGAGGCTGTAAGCGTGCCATACAGAGCAGCCCCAAGAGGCCCCTGGCAGCGCTCTGCAAGCCTGTGGGAAGTCCTGGTGGATGTGGGGCTGAGCGGGGAGCGCTGGCTTTTTGCCCGTTCGGCTCCTGGTTTCTTTACTGAGACTGTACAAAGAGGTACAAAACAATGCCAAGCACGCTGCTCTGCAAGCTGATGTTAAAGCTAGTTCCTTTCTTTTTCATTACTTATGCACCTATCTGTATTCATATATTCATGTACACATTTCTGTAAAAAAAATGGCTGGCTTAGAAACCACTCTGTGATTATTTCTTCTCTCTTTGTTCTCAACCCATCATTGCTAGTACCTGCAAGAAGAGTACTCGGCATGCCTCGCATACTTCCAGTCCTCTGGATAGAGCAGCTGAGGTCAAGGATATGTAGCAGACCGCCAGCATATATGTACAGCGTGTTTGTTTGGGGAAATACATATTCACAGCTGACTTGTCACTGACAAAGAGTCCGAAGCCTCTTTATCAGGAAGGGTACTACTTTCCATTGTCCCTGTCCCTCCCAAAGGAAACAGAGGTTTCTCTCATTTAAGCACAAGAAGGACAGGCAAATAATGAATCAAAAAATGGGTCGCTCCTTCCAGGAGCATGGAAATCCTGCTCCTAGTAACCAGAGGTAACGCCAGGATGGTAGGGCTGCCTGCTTCTGACACACAGAGAGCTTTGCCCAGGACTGGAGAACAAGATAGCAAATGGAAGGCAGCCACTGCACATACATAAAAGCTCTTGTCAGGGTAAAAGAAAAGCTCAGCATGGTTTTAGTTCTGTATTTGAAAAATACAGTATGAAAAGCTCTTCACAAAGAGCTAAACAGAGGCAGCAGAGCTAGCAGTCCTAATAGACCCACATTAACAAGCAAGCAAGCAGGCAACTTCTGAATCCATTATAAGAGAGATTTCAATACTTTTTTTTTTTAATTATTATTTTCTTTTAATTGATCTCCTTTCTCCTCTGGGCTGTACACCATCATTTCACTTACACATGCTTCACATTTTGTCCATTCTCATGCTCTTTGGAGAAAGAGAAGTGAAATGACTGTATTTGGAAAAAACAGCATGGAACAATAGATTTAAGTGCACATTTGCCATGAAGAGTGCTCACTTAATAAAGACCAAAAAGACCAATGTTAGTAAAGGAGTCCTTTTAAATAACAAAAATAACATGTAAAGTAGGGCCGGTCACAGTGACTGTGAGACTTGGGAAATATTTCACGCATATCAAGGCTATAAAGGTGAGACAAGAAGCACAAGTGTCCCGTCTCCAACACCAAATTCCTTCACACTGCAGTTGCTCAGCAGGCAGTGTGCTCTTATGGGGAAAAGGATGTAGCTGGACCAAAACATGACCGGAGTGAGAATGGCTTAGACATGGAAAAAAGAGCGCAGAACGGGCAGTTCCAAATCCTGCATTCACAGACCAAAAACATACTCAATAAAAATGAATACATGACTTAATCATTTTAATAAATAAGGCCTCTGTTTGGATTTCCGTGGTTTGAGAGGAAGTTTGTCTGGCTTTGGTTGCCTTCTACCACTCCTAGCTGTGGCAGGGGCACTAGGAACACTCTCCAGACTGTCCCCTACCCCCAGAGCTCCTCTCGGCCCCCTCTGTTCCCAAGTTGTGGACCTCATGCTGGCACGGGGACACCAAGGGCTGTCCCCAGCTAACAAGAGATGCTGTTCATGCATCTCCTTCACCTCGTGGAAGAAGTATGCTTAGCCACATACAACCGCAGCACCGTTTTTATGTACAAAGAAACTGTGGATTATAGTCAGCTGGCTGCTCACGGATCGGTTGTGCTGTATCTACGGCAACAGGCATCAGACTAACGCATGTGTGACATAAAAATCAGAGCCCCGTTAATCCTTTGTTTCTTCTGCATTCAAATTCCCAGGCTAGATTAAGAACTGAAGAAGTTTGTGACTTACATTCCTGGACTGATAAGCTCATTTCCTGCTAACATTTACAAGCCTCCATCTGAAAATGTAGTGTGACTAAAACTTGGAAGGTAGAAAAGTGTGGAAGTGCCTGACCTTAGCTACTGCTTCACCTAGGCACAGGAGGACACGTTTGTGTCACACACACACTCACATGTCTGTGTGCAAGTCATGTATTTGCACTTTTTGCTTGAATAAGTCCATCTGCAGGAAGGGGGCTTTAACTCATTTCTGCAACATCCAAAGTTCTGAGATAAGAACCTGGAATATTTCACATCATTTTTTCAATGCAGAGATGATTAGCATCGTGTAAAACTGTACCATGTGCATCTCAGCAGGAGTTGCCTCTGCTAATCCTTGCCTCTTCAGCAGAAGGCTGGAAACAAACATCCTCGACTACTACAGAGGCACAGGAACACAGCAAGTGTCAGCCTGAAAATGACATCTGTAGCTGGTTTAGAAATCTAAGATGCTCCCCATGTATTTTTAACAATTCAACTCAAATCCAACATTCTTTAGGTTTTGAAATTATGTAGGAAAATGTTTTTTCAGGTTTCTATCTGGGACTACCAGCACAGCAGTAGGAAACCACCAGAAAATGTGTAGCTATATGGAATTTGCAAAGTGGCTTGGGAGAACTAAGAGGTTCACAAAGTGTAGCTGAACCACAGACAAGCATCTGAACTGCAATTTCTTTTGCAGTGTAAAATATCTCTTCCCTAATATTTCTTTCATGTAGAGGTTGAAAGACTTAAATTTTGTACGTGTTTCCAACAGCACTGCTGATGTTGTTGGCTTTACCAAACATGATGGGGGCTGAGAGCACGCCAGCCTGCGGAGAGGTGGAGGTGCTGCACGCCACAGAGGGGGGGCTGAATGATGCACAGGGGCACAAAAGCAGTGAGGGGGGACTGAACAACATGCATCCACAGCTCCATGGGGGAAAGAAACCTCACTGGTGGTGCTTCACGCTGACCATGCAGCAGTGGGTACCCTGACTGCCGTGAATGCTGCTCATGCTGCCACTGTTGCCACAAATACATAGACTGCTTACTTTACTATGTCTTTGTTCACCTTATTTTAGCCCAGGAAGGAGTGTAGCAGCTGTAGAAAAATGAGAAGCAAATGAAGAAAAAGCTAGCTTTCCCAGCCCTGGAGGAGATGTAATCCTTGGATTACAAATGGATGAGCTTTTCTCCCCGAGCCTCCCTTGACACTTAAAGCTCATTCCTAGCAGCATTTTTCACCTACTTCCACAACCTGCCTCAGTTCATTTCACAGAGGTTTTCCACAACTGACTCACCCCACTTGGAGACAGATGATAAAGTTAAAATATAAAGGGACAGGAGAACTTGAGAGAAATCTACCGCTTTTCTTTGCTGGTTTGGTGGAGAAGCACAATCCCCACCTGCTGTACTCAGCTCCCAGGTACTGCTGGATGCGAACCTAACAGCAAAGGAGCCTCACCGAGGCACATCACCCTCAGGTGCCACCTTCCCACAGACAGGTTTATTCGCATGGGCAGGTGTGTGTGACACTTCAACACCGTTGCAGCAGAATGCCATGCCTCATTGTTTTTCACAGTAAATAAAGAAAAAATATCAAGAGAGCACCCAGGCAAACCTGCACCCGATAACATCTGGCAACACAGGCAAAGCACCAGAATCTGGTGCTTTGCTTTATGCAAAATGACCTGCACCACTGGACAACAGGAAGACAACCTGTGTCCTTTATGTTATGCAAAGCATGCAATAAGAAACAAGTCACCATTATCCCAATTTTGTTCTCATCAGGTGAGAGGCGAGATTTGTATCCTTGCTGGGAATCAAGTTAAGCCGGCAATATGAGTTTTTGAGAAAATCCTCTCCTAGAAATCACTAATGCACAGTATTATGAAATTTGCCACACGCCAACTTGCACAGTACACATTTCCATCCCTTTTGCACCGTATGGTGAGGTTATTAATTTGTCGATGCAAATAATTCACAGATCACTCAATCACACACATATTTCCTTACCTGCCCCTTTCCCTTGCACATAAAAGAAGAAGCAGATGCTTAAAGAAAATAGAAAAGGATTAAGTTTTATTCTCATTTACTTCCACGCAAGTTCTCTGCCTGTGTTCTTTTCAAATCTGTATACAGCTCAGCAATAACCAAAAACCACATCCTTAATCAGACTAAATTACTGCTGACCCCAATCCTATTTAAATTCTGCCTGCATAAAATAGAGCTTCTGCTAAGACATCTAGCTGATAATCTCTGTTGGACACTAACTAATAGTTATTTTCATTTACAGACGAGAATAATATACATTGTAGTTTGCCAATCCTATTACTCCAGAATTAATGCTTGATATTTGAGGGAGACAAAAGAAAACAATGCTTTAGACAGTGATTTATACGCAGTTGCAAGCAATCATTAAACCAGCAATTACATCACTGGCAAAAATCAGTTTGTAAGAGAGAAACTTGTTTAAACAGAGTCAACGAGCAACGTGTATTATCTGCAAACATATCAACTGACCCTGAGATCCAGACGCTGCTCTTTCTCGTATTGCCTTTGACTCCTGCGAAGCTGCTACTGTACACCGTCCTTATCTGCTAGAGCCTTCTGTCTTGCATTCCTCCCTGATATTCCGTCTTAATTCCTACCACTGAGAACACATGCAGGAACAGCCTTTTTTTCTGATCTTCACTTTGCATACCACAGTATAATCAACCATTCACTGCTTGCTCTGGTGCCCCATTGCTGACTCTTCTTGAAGAACGCACCCAGGGAGGCCCTGATACAAAATCAGCTGCTCCTTCAGATTTATCCTTCAGCAACATTCAGTCTGAGGTTCTGGGACCTTTCAGCTTGCTCTGTTCACTGTGACTGCTGCAAAGAGCAGCCAGCCTTAGCAGAGTGCTTTAGACACAAGCCCAGTTAAGCGACAGTTACACTTACAGCTTAGGGTGCCTTTAATTCGAGAATTGAAGGAGCAAACAAATGCTGGTTGGTTTACATGGATCTCTGGAGAACAGCACTCTGAGATTTACATGTCAAACTCCACTTAAGGCGTAATTCCTTTGGTAGTCACTGCAAGCCTTCAAGCTGTGATGAACACATCTGGTATTAATAAGAACCATAATGTAATTAAATAGGAGTCCCACTGCTGTCAACTGCAGCTCATGAAAGTAAGCATAAACAGTTATTTATAAGAACACTGAGTTATAAAGAGAGCATTTGAGAATCAGTAACAGAGAGATCTGCACAGTCGGTCACTGCAGGCATCTCTGTTCCCGCGAGGATGAGCGCACAGCTGTGTGAAAGGCAGCGTGTGTTGGCTAGGAAGGGAGCCAGTGTGGGACTGCTAATCACCAGGCTACTCCTGCTCCGGCACCAATGTCTGGGAATTAAATCTTTCTGCCCACACAGAAACCGTGTGTGTAGAATGGAGTTTGTGCTGTTAAATATATACATACACCCCACACATGTATATTATATGCATGTATACAAATATGAATATAGGCATCCTCACCCAGGAAATTTGACGAGGGTAGCATTACTACAAAAGAGTTTATAGGTATCAAATCAAGTGAAAGAAATAATAGTGTATGAGTTATGTGATCAGTCACAAGTGATCAATATGATAGAATTGCTATGCAAAACAAACAAAGGCAGAAAGATCTGAATTTAAATATGAATATAAATCATGATCCTAAACTTGTTCAGCTCAGTGGAAAGACTTACAGCTTCTCATTGACTTAAGCAATTTCTGAGTCTGGCACATAAGGTTATTCCAATTATGCAAACACTATCCAGAAGTCAAGGCTGACTTATTACATGCAGAAAGAAGGGGTTATATTTGCAAAGAACATTCATTAATGAATATCCGTATAGCATGTTTATACAAATGTATAAATGGCTTATAAAGAACACAATATTCTAGTCTAAGGATAAAAAGAGAGTTTTATTCTCTATTTGTATATTTCGTTATGTGATTATTACATTAGTTATAATGAGCAACGTGAGCTATGGAATTACCGCCTTAATACTACAGGTTAAGAACCAAGCACATTTTTGTCCAGCTACTAGGTCAGATAGGGACTTCTCATGAGGACTGGAGCAATGCATGTGCAGGCCAGCAAGTTCTTCTGCAAGTGTGTGTGTATCTCCAGATCCACAGTCTTCATCTCTTTGTGTGCCTGCTTCCCACAGAGATCAAGACAGAGTATGAGAAAGCAATTGTGACCATTTAACATTAACACGTGCAAGTTTGTTTTATATGTGATTGACATACACAGTTTGTTTCATAAAAAAGCAGGCAAAGTAGCCATTTGGTACTAAATGGAGCCACAAAACCAGCAACACAATTTCAAAAGAGCAAGCAACTTCGAGGAAGCCTTAGAAATAAATTTGTAAGAGAAGCTGGTTTATATACAACCACATTTAATAATTTGTTCTCCCCTCCAAATTAGCTTGCTTTTCTTATTCAATTTTGCACAATTGTATGTAGGAAACACCCTTTACAGCAAATAGGAAGAACAAGTTAAAACTGACAGGATAATGCTTCCTGCCAACTGTTGCCTTCCCTCAGTTTGTCACCAAATGGAATTTTTAGCATCTATCAATCTTGGGAGCATATTAAAACTTTGCATGCTGGGTTACCCACAGATCTTGCTGTTCAGAGCAGCAGCTGAGAGACCCTCATGCGTTGAATATGGCCCCAGGAGCACACGGCACCTGCCCTCTGTGCTGCCCTACTGAGCTCAGCGTGCTCCACCTCAGGCTGCAGAGCAGTCTGATTTGCCTTGTGCCTGGAGAGAGTTCAACTCAGGGCCAGAGGAGAAACCATTTTAAATATTAAAAGGGAGAGGAAATAAAAAAAATAAATAAATAAAATAAAAAAAAATCTCAAGAGGGCAGATCCTAGAAATCCTGAAGTGTGAAGTCTGAGACTCGGCAGGCAGCCAAGAACCACAGTGCGTGGAAGAGATGACACGGGGCTTGCAAGGAATTGGCAGGCAGTCGTGATGGGAGATGCCAACACCACACAAAGAGAGTGAATTGAGTCAGAACTTATAAAAGGAGATGTAAGAAAGAAAACCCAGCTCAAGGGGAGAATGAGAAATAGGAGACATGATCCAGGACTTGCAGCTTAAAAAACATCGGACAAAAATAACTGAAAAACCTAATTCACCAGATTCAGTCTGGTATATGGCAGAGAAAGGCAACAAAGAGATGGGGCACAAAGAAAAGCGCTTACACAGAACTCAGATAAAGCAATAGTCCAGAGACAGCAGTTGAATCAAAGTCCTGAATTCTTTCTGGGCAGGGCACTTTGCAAACTGCAGGTTTCTATTATTGCTTCTCTCTCCTTATCTTCAGCCTTTGCTTATGCAAAAAGCAAGTCAAGGCTGCAGGCTCTGACTGGAGGTGTTGCAAGGGAGGAGACAGATTTAACAAGAATGCATTCCTTTTATAAAATTCTGTTGGCTTCACTGGAGACTTCAGACAAACATGCAAGTTTAGACTTCACATTAAAGCTCTGCTGCACATGACTCTTCCAGCTAGCCACAGCTTTATTTCTGTCTCTACCTGCTTGCCCTGAGATTAAGAAATAAAGACTGCCTGCTTAGAAAAAGCAGAGTTCTTGTTTCAAGAGAGCTTAACATATAAAAAAACGGTGCCATTTGTTTTGCAGTCTACAAGCATCTTCAGCTCTTACCTCTGGCTGCAGCACCAACATGCTATCGGTGTTTGTGGGGCGTGCACTTCACCTGACATCTGAGCAGCTCCTAGTGAGGTCACCTTCACTCCTTCAGGCTCCGACCTTTGATCCTCTGCAATCTGACATCATTAGACAAGGATAGCGTGCTGAGTCTTTGCCTCACGCAATTTCTTTATTATTTCTGCTTACTTATTTTGATTTACCACAACTAATGTAGGCAGTCTGACTCTCAGATCTAGGCTGTACAATGCACGGATGCATATGCACATACACAACAAACACCAGTATACAAATCAATTATAATACCTATAATTTCACTAACTCTGCTGTCTTCACACCTATTTTCCATTTTGATAAAGTTTTTTAAAAACAAAACAAAACAAAAAAAAACAATCAATAGAATTAAAAAACAAACAAACAAAAAATTCTTGAATTCTTTGAAACATTCTCCACGATCAAACAGAGCAGATAATGATGAGTGGGTAGGTGTGCAGCAGGAGGGTGGGCTGGCTCTGGGTTTCAGAAATCTCTTATCTCAATGAGCACACACCTGAGTGTGACAGAACAAGAAAAGCAAGACCAAGTAGGTGGGTGTCAGGCTGCTAAACTCTAGAGACCAGAGATAACACCTTCCCCAGTGCTGGGAGGCAGCTGGGTCCCTGCTCGCTGCTGCACCCACCCTGCAAACCACCAGCTCTGGGCCAGCCTGCCTTATGGGGTGATGGTGTTTTAAAATTATGAAAAAGTCCCTCGGGTTTCCCATCCTCACTGGGCCGTCCGTGCTATTGCCCCTGTCCCCACCAGGCTCACCTTGAGAACCGGGTGCTGCTGGGCCCAGCAGAGCAGCGCACGCAGCAGCCCGCAGAGAGCCCTGAAGTGGGGCTGCTGCAGGACCTGAGCTGCGCAGGCGGCGATCCCAGCAGAGCCTGCCCCTTTCTGCAGGTAAAACCTACCTCCAGGAGCACCACGGGACCCACAAGAACCCAGAGTGATGCAAAGTCTGCTCCCACACGGCTTCCAGCACAAAGACAGCTTCCACTTGGGAGCCCGAGGCAGGTTTGGACCTCTGGCACTGAGTATGTCCAAGGGGAGGCGTTAGATACAGCCACAGCTTGAGAAGTGGCAAGCCATCAGGGAGTTGTATTGGTTTGGGTGAAAATTAAATAAAGGCAGCTAATCTCTTAGGAGAAAGCTAATGGCAGAGTACGGCCTCACATGTTTATCCAGGGTCTCTGGAGAAGTACTTGGAGCATTTACCATGTAGAAAAGCAAGCCAACCATCTATTTTTAAACTCACTTGATTCAACACATATGGGGCTGAATTCTTTTAGAAGTAATGTCCTTCTGATGTAGTTATTGAAATTGCCACTAGACAGGGCTGTTTATCTTATTTTTAACCTCAGAAATATTTATGAGCCCAGCGATGTGCTAGAAGGCCAAGAGGAGTTTGTGCTACAGACTCCATGAAAAGGGCACATGGCTCTGCAGCTCACGGCGCTGGCGCCAGGCTGCAGTTTTTGCATTATGCTATTTATAAGCTTCTCGCTGGAGCCGAGGGGCTACATCTGCAATGCATAAATTCTCTAGTCATTTACCAAGAGCTAGTGATAAAGAGATGACAGATTAAAAAAAATATATCCAGTTCTTCCTCCGTTAAACTACACTGTGTGTCTGTGGGATGTGAAAATAAGCAACACATCTGGAGATCTGCGCAGACTGTGACAAGGCACTGATTGTGCAGCTTACTGACAAACACATTTTGCCAGGAAATTTTTGGAAAGGTGCCACCAATTGTACCTCTGGGAAACAGAAAGGTTTCAGTTCCAGGTAGGTGACACACAGTCAGTAAGTCATCACGTTAGTGCCAGCACACCGGACTCAAGAGCTAGGACAATGCAAACTTCTTAAAATACTGTACTGTAGTTTGACCACTAGGTAATGACATGTCTCATTGCATATGCCTTGCTATCCCTGTGCTCTGATGCCCCTCCAAAGCAGCGGTTCCAGCCATCAAGTAATGCAGAAATGGGGTTAAATGCCAGTTGGCATCCGTGGAGCTATGCCAGTTTGTATCATCCAATTATCCAGCCTTTTGTGATAAACTCGGGGTAAAACACATTGTCTTTAAATAGAAGTAAGCACTCATTTTGAGATGAAGCAGACAGAGACCAGCATTTTCCGAGGGCTCACGCCCTGATTTACATTGCAGGCAACCGGGAGCAGGAACTTCTGGAATTTCTGCAGCTGTAGCTACAGCACTGATTTCATGTTGTGACTGCAACTCAAACAGCTGTGAGCCACAGCCAGCACTCATGTAGAGTCCATGTAGAGAGTAAGAGAGGTTGGTGTGCTATCCGAAGTTTTAATTCACTTCCCTGCTGGTATGGGACACGGGTTATACGGTTCCATTTTAGTGTCAGGCACAGTAAGTGTTTGGGCAGGCACCGGCTGCTAGGCTCTCTCTGAGGTCCTGTGAAGGCTACAACAGGACTTGAAGTGCCTAAATGCTGCACTGCAGGTAATGCATTTGTTGCTTCAGAAAACAATAATAAAGCCTTTGGCTCTTTCTCCTCCCTGACTCAGCTGCATCTCACTTCCACACGCATGGCCCAAGGCCGGCAGTGCAAGCAGCCAGCCCCGCGCTGTGGGAGCAGGCCCGGGCGGCCGAGCTCCAGCAGCACCCAGCGTACACACACCCCTGGCTCAAAGCGTGGCCGTGCCAAGCTACCAGCCTGACTCAGGGCTCCTCGCCCGCCCTGCACAAAGCAGGTGCCGCATACATGGAGTTTGGCATTGCCCTGCAGCCCGTTCCTCCTCCCGGAGGCACACCCGAGGCCCGAGGCCAAGCTGCGCCATGCCCACGCTCACAGGCCCCGGGGAGCAGGAGGAGCGGGGCAGCGGGCAGCAGCCAGGTGCCAGGATCCTGCCCACTCCCACTCGGGACAGAAGAGCCGAACTGCACCTTCTGCCCCGGGGCAAAGTGCACAGGCACAGCCCAGCCACCAGCACGTAAACGGAGGCTAATTCATTATCTGCTATTCCCAGCACTAATCATTTCTGTGAAGCTTCGGAGCTCAGTGGCAGTTCCTGCACCTGTTACCTGGCTTGTGGGTCACTCCTCAACTCTTGCAGAATTTTTGGCTGACAGCAAGGAGGGTTCACAGCCGTCTGTAAGCTGAATGCTCATATCCAGCTGCTGGGCACAAACAAGGAAGTAATGATCCTTTTGTCAGCTTCAGTGATGACCTTTGGACATTGGCAAAGGACTGGTCAGCTCTGGCAGATGTGTAATGCAGAAATACGCTTCTGCAGCTGTGTAAGGGAAACACTGCAAGAAAGATACAAACAGGAGGATGGACCTAGAAGGCAAAACTGACAACATAGATAAATACAGGAGCACGGGGCATGCCCGTGAATTATTGTGCTTCGTGCAGTTTATCTCTGGAATTTGCCACTTGCCCATACAGAACCTCGGGCTTCTGCTCAGTTCTGTGTTTCCTGCCTGCCCCTAGACTTCAGTTCTGTAAATGAGTAACTGAATATCTCAGCTGTCTGTGCAGATGAATACCCTACCGACCGTGAAGAACTCTGATCTTGTGGGGACAGGAATGTATCGGTGAGGGGAGAGCAGGATGGAGTTCAGCTTCATCCTGTCCTAGGGGTTGCTTCCATTCATTTTGTATTCCATCCTGAGTTTTTATTCCTGCTGCCACATTTGTATGGAGACCTGTGAAAACAAATTAAAAAACTGCTAATCCTAGTGCCAAAGCCATTTTCACATATAATCTTTTGAAATATATACATAGAAATATGAACTTGGAATGAAAGTTAGATCTTGAAACATGAGTGCAATGAGTTGATTTACTCTATATATACCCAAGGTATCAGATTTTCATAATCTTCAAGGAAAATGCAGATTAGAGATATTCTGATTCTGTGACATTGCCAAAAGAATGTCAAAACAGAAGGTTGTTTATTATCATCACTCAAAACAATAACTCGGAAGTAAAAATTAACTTTGTCTGGAACATCTCTCATTCTTTATTTGGAATTAAGCTCCTGATGTGTTTTTCAAAATCTGATCAAAGCACAAGATATAAACTAACATTCCCTTGTATTCTATCTAGGAAATAAATGTTTCACTTTATTCTAGCTCATTCTCCTCTGAGATAGCTACACGGAATGGTGTCAAGCCTTTACTCTTACCTGGTATTCCCAGATCTTGGTGTCCTGAAACACAGTTCTGCCGTGGGACTTCTGCAAGAACACAAGCTTCTTATCCCTGGCTTTCAGTTACAAGGATGCACTATAAAAGCACAGGAGGAGATTAAATCACCAGCAAAATGAAACAAAAATACATAACTCTTAATTCTAAGTACTATGGTGACATCTGAGTACAATCTGTCTTAGAAAATTACACATTCACATTCTACTGGACTGTTGTTTTTTTTGTTTTGTTTTGTTTTGTTTTCTTCCCCACTAAGATTATATGGGTATTTGAAGAAGTGGCAATCATAGCAACAAAATCTCATTTGTAATATAAATACCTATTGTACCATTGTCTTCAGTGAAACTCTGCAATTCACACTGGATCAGGGTTTGCTTAGGGTATTATGTAGCACAGAACACTGGTAAACAAAAAACTAAATCTCCTATTGATGTCTGTCTGGAACAATTAATTGCACAAATGACTCTTGGGATACAGGATTCAGAAATACCCAAAGACAGGGAATTTTTCAGTTCTTTACGTGTTTGCCAGGTTTGCCAGAGTTAAGGACTGAGCACACTTCTGTGTGGGGTACAAATGTGGGCTCTCCTCAAATTCTGTGCTCTTCTTTCTGCTTAATTATAAGACCAAGACCCAAGCAGTCACTCCTGCACCATATAACAGCTGGGTAATCCTTGGATTTTTAAAGATAAAACCCTAATTGTGACACCACAAAATTCAGTCACAACTGCATCCAACTGACAGCCTCCTGCTGCTCCTCTGGTGCAGGCCATTGCTCTCTGCATTCCTTGCTCCTCCCAGGCATTTTTGTGTCTGCCCACCTGCCAGGACACCAAGCTGATGACTGGATATTGCAGTCATCGAGACCAGAGCAATATCTGATGTGCCTAGAAGACCACTATGGGTAAGCAGTATCTCTAGATTTTTTCCACAGCCTTTGGCAAGCAATAAAATGCAAAGCTCACTTTGAACAGCCTCAACAGCTATGGCTGGGAGTTGTTGTCTTCTGACAATTAATCTTGGGCACTTTGTTCCAGATTTACCAGCAATCAAGGCTTGATTTAGGCCACTTCTCCTTGGCAATCACACTGCAAAGTACATACCTGTTGACTTGCTGTCATCTGTCATTTAGCAGGAGAGAAGAAAAAAAGGCTCAGAAAAGATCTAGTTTTCTCACAATAGATAAGCATGCAAACAGGGCAATGTGTTGAACGTTTCTTACTGACATCTTGAATCTACCCAAAACAACATTTGAATGCTTTTGGAAGAAGAGAATGTAATAAAGAACCACCCACACGGTATCTACTCTGAAACGCAGATTTTGCTTGCGTGCAAAACAAACCTCTGAAGGCAGAATAATGCCATGAGAAAGGAATTAAGAAAAAAAGTATCTGGGCATTTGGTAAATGGCTAATAAGCGTGGAATGAAGTTACTTCAGATTAACTGAGAAGACCACAATTTAACAGTTGTGTCGACCAAGCTTTAGACTTTCATGAGGTATATAACAAAGTGATTTTTATTAGGAGGTTTGATCCGCTGTGAGATGCTCCCAGCTTCCCTAGCAATAGCCCTACACCTCAACTCACAGCTCAGCCACCCCGAGAGTACAGCCCCTCCCCAAAATTGTCCTCCACTCACCTGAAAACAGTCACGGAGGTAATCAGTGACACACTTCCAGGTGTTTTCACTGAACTTAACCCTGAATTTTGAGCCCCGAAGGGACTGTCAGCTTGTACTGGATGGAGAAGCTTTAAGAGCCATGGTCAGTACCCCAGGCAGTGGGGGAGCACACGATGCTGCTGCCTGTTATCCTAACCCAGCTCCCTCCACCAGGAAGGTGTGGATAAAGAAATTGGTTCATGACTAGAGTGTGAAGGAAGTTCTTGAAGGAAGGGAAGAAAAGGCCTTAAAATACATTTTAGATGTGGTTTCTGTTTTGCAGTTTTCTGGGAAATAAGGCTTACCAGTTCCCTGTGGCAGTCTGATTGAGGAACAAGCATTTCAGCACTACTTGCTTCCCTCAGAACAAACTAATGATATCTTTGAGGTGATACTTCTGCAAAACACAGCTCCTAAGCTGTTCGTGTGCCTTCCTCCCACCTCTCTGGGCGGATGACTTGACCCAAGCAGCCTTGTACTGGCTGTTGAAGGGGTGAAGGTGGGGATCTTGTGCTCTGCAGCATTTGTGGTGAATGTGCTCAGCTGCTCATGCCAGCAGGCAGACAAAAGAAGAAATCCAAAGCTTGACTGTGCTTCTCATCCTTTTGTAGAGTACAAAGGACAATTCAGTAAAACAAGTGGCTTGTTTTTACCAGCTCCTTATAACCACTTGAACATGAGAAGCTAACATAAGCCTTATCCCAGCTTTTCCTTTCCTTTTTCACATCCTATAGCTAGAAAGTATTTTTAAAAAACGTGGCCCCACAGGAGAGCTTTTAAACAATAAACTGGACACAACATCAGACTAAAAATAAAAGCAATAGCAGTTGCAGCAGCCACACTCAGCCAATGGACACTTCCCTGCATTGTTCCTACTGAAGTGCCGTGATTTTGTGAGCAAACCACAGCTTGGGTGCTGCCCTGGGTCCCTGTGTCCCCATGGGTCCCTGCCCAGGTGACAGTCACAGCCAGCTGGGCTCACTGCAGCGCATCACCCCCTGCCAAGCTCAAAGGATGCTCTTGCCAGCGTGCCCCTATAAGCCTGCATTTCCTAGGGAAAGTGACTCCTCAAATGCATCACGTTTGGGAGCAATAGCTTACATGTGTTAATTTAATTGCCCTTGGGTAAGAAGTTAAATAAGGCAACTGGGAAATTTGTGGCAAGGGAGGTGTGGTGAATCACCTTTAATTTGCATTTACAGCAACAGACCAGGGCACCTGGAATTACTACCATAAGCAGTTTTCATTTATAAAAATAGAGAAAATTGATTCCACTTCATTTAGTTTGTGTTTTCCGCACTTACACTCCACTGGGGTTGGCCATGGATGGAGAATTACTCCTGAATAGCCAAGTAATTCAAATAATGATTGCTGTTCTTTAACATACTTTGATATTCCTAATCATGTTCACCCTCACCAGCCCTAGCTGTTGCTGCTTCTGCTGTCAGCCTGTGCAGGTTGAAAAGAGACTGTAAAATTTGACTTGGCAAGCAATTCTTCCTTTTATTGTTTTAGAAGACTTCAGAAACAGCTCTGTGGCCTCACTACATCCCACCCTGCTGCAGCGCATGAGAGCCTGGCTCATCAATACGGCAAAAAGAAATGAGGGGATCCTCTTAGGAAATGTAGGAGACACGTTTTCTGGCTTAAAACCTGGAAGGGAGAAGGCAGTATAATGGGCAATCTTCTGCCACTAATCACATGGAAGGCCTTGAACACAGCACAGATCATGCCGTTCCCTGGAAAGGGCGTGAGAAGGGAAAGGCAGGACTTCTCTGCAGGGAGTATGAAAAGAAAAACTTAATAAGAGGTAATAAAGAAAATCAATTAAAAAAAAAAAAAAAAAAAGAGAGAGAGAGAATGAAATATGCCTCATCTTTTTGGCGGACTTGTAGTGTTAGATGGCGGTTGCACTTGATGATCCTGAAGGTCAGTTCCAACCTGGATCATTCTATGATAAACACGAGCTCAAGAGGCTGGACATTTCCCCGCTCTCGGAAGCTTTAAGGGTGGAACCAGCTGTGGGTCAGCAGTGCAGGAGAGCACCCCTTGGCCAAGGAGGTGGCCTGCTTCCAGCGAGAGGCTGCGTCCCTCCTTGCTGCAGGGCTGGTGGCCCATGGGCTCAGCCAAGCGGCCCAGTGGCACCCAGCTGGGGTGAGGTGGGCCACAAGGCAGGACCTCAGCTCCTCGTTCTGGAAACTTTATCTGCAGTTTTATGTTCATCTTGTTCCCAGTTTCACCACAAAGTGGCACTACAGTAACTGGCATTCATTTCAGTCAGTGGATAATGAAGAACTTGTGACAGCCAGCTTTTTTTTTTTTTTCCTCTCCCCCCTGCACTGAGTCACCACTAATTCCCCTCTGCTCATGCCATAATAACCCCCACAGAGGGCTCACTTCGTTAAGCATGCGTTAGATGGGAGTTTACTGCCTCAAAATCATTTACGTGCTGCAAACATTTTGTTGCAATACTTTCTGCTCAGTCCGTTTTCCAACACTTGGCTAATCTGGAATAATAAAAAGTAAAATGTTATGTTTGCTTTAGCAAAACATCAGCCCAACATACTAACATACAAACCATCAGAGTAACTGGTTACTGAACAGTTGAAACAAAACTCTGGGAGAAAAGTAAGAGCAGGTAAGAGCAGAGAATTCTTCTCCAAGGAGTGCACTTTCCTCTGCTGAGGATGCTTGCCTTCTTTTTCCCACCTATTCCAGTACGCTTTCTTCTAGTGCAGGCAAGGCCTAAAATAGCTAACTGACTCATAACAATTAAAACAAAATTATTAGTTTGGAGCCTATTGAATACCACAAAAGCAGTGCTCCTGACTGTTCATTCAGGCTCCCCGTGCACGCCTGCTTACAGCTCACTGCTCCCAGTTAGCTGCGTGCTAACTGCGCCGTGCCAACCTGCCTGCAAGGGCCAGTTTTGTCCATGAGGAGTGTGCAAAAAAATGCTATTAGCCACACAAGCAGCAATTTCTGCAAACAAACCTGAACTCTCACTGTGCTCTTTTTGTGCCCAATGTCTTTAAGGCACTTCATACGCCGCACCTTGGCTGACTTTGCTGTCCATCAAACATGGCAAGCAGCAATCGCGCTGGCTAAAGCCAATGCACACGAACTGCCCTGCGTGCACAGTTGTGGACAGTCCTAGAATTCAAAGCTGGTTCATTACTGATTTGTAAATAGATAAGAGAGCCATCTTCTTCAGATGAAGTATCTGTGTAAACAGTTCTATTAGCTGGTATCAGTTTTATGGTACTAATCAGCTTATTGTAGTAAGAATTCATTTTTGCTGTGTATGAGTAAAGACAGGGCAAGCTGGCCCTTGCCACGCAGGACAACCCAGAAATAAAACCTAATTGCTTTTGTTGCTCAGTCAACTAACTGCTGCTCACACTCGCTCATTCTGGAGCTGACTGCTTTAATAGTTGCTGTTACGCCATGACTGGTGGCAATTTATCCTCAACCAGTCATTTTCTAATTTCATTTGATTAAGACCCATGGTTAGAGGTATATTATGATGATAGTGTTATGACAAACTGATATAAAATACTTTAACGGAAATTGAAGTTTACCTCTAAATAGGAAAAATGTTCACTATTAAAATGAATACATAAACTATATGTATTTAAATAGAAAATATTTTCAGATGAATCAGAAAATGTAGAACAATTTGAAAAAAAAAAAAAAAGCAGGTATGAGGAAGGATGAAGAAAAGGGCTAGAGGCAATATGAAGATGCAGTTATTAACTAAGGACAAGTGCTGTGTCTAACTAATATACCTGTTCACTGTCCTCTGAGCTTGTGGTGACTACACTGCAGTCTTAACTTTTTTCAGTAAAATTGCAACAATTTCTATTGAGCAATAGTTGCACTGAGCAGCAGCAAAACAGCGCAGGGTGGAGGAACTCCTTCCTGACCCATCATTCTTAGCAACCTCAAATATACCATGGGTTATAGTTGAAAATAGAAGAAATCTTAACTCTGAGTTAATTTGTTTTTCGAGGGGTTCAGATGTCTTCTTTTTTTTTTTTTTTATTTTTGTAAATTTAGATGCGATATTTTCTTATGTGTCACATAATTTTGTCCATGCTTAGCTGATTATTTGAACTGAGTAACAATCACCACAGAAAAGTCAAGTAACTGAAGTGCCTGTCCTCTGGCAGGCCTTGTGCCAAGTCTGTTTTTTCACGTGAAATTCACAGATCGCTCTGGGGGAGCCAAGCAAACCTTCTGCTCTTATAAACCTGCATCCTTCCACGCTGCCCTTCTCCTTCCTGCTGGAAAAGCGTAAGAGATTAGTGCCTCACCGAGCTGCTTTTCTTGTTTAGAAAGCACACAACTGCTTTCGAAACATTAAATCAGTGGAAATCAGTGTAAATCCAAATGGCTTCATGCCAGCTTTTCCTTTTAGATGTGACTAACTGGCTTCCTGCAGCAGATTTTTATCTTGCAGCTACATATGAATGTCCCCAGCTAAAATGTGTAAGGCATTTGATTATACATAAGACCTAATTTTTTCTGGCAACAAGCTGTAGTTCTCACAAAGTGTAAAACTAGCAGTATGACATGATAGCAGATTCCTCACACGTCACTATCTATACTAAATTATTGGTACTTTTTACTTCTTTTTAATGTAAACAGTCTTTATGAACACATTATCCCAGATTAAATATTATTCAGCTGGAAAAGATATTTCAAATTTTCTTTAATTATAATACACACAATCAAAATCGTGGAAAATCGGACTAAAAATAAAGTGATTTTGTTACCTCTAACAATCAATGAATCCCAAATTTACTTTCCAGGTTTTTGAGTCAGAACACATCTGACACTTCAGTTAGGAATTACCAGCATGTGATAAATAAAGCAATAAAATAACATCGTGCAACAAACCTGGCACAAGATTTCTAATAGGGCTCTGACCTCTCAATCTGTCAAGCTAATTAGGAAGATCAGACAGCCATTAACAATGCAGTCCCCCCGGGACACGGGACGTGTTATTAACACAGCGTGACACGGGAGCACGCAGTGGTGTGAGACTGCAGAGGGTGTCTCCGTGCTGAACCGCGGCGAGCGCAAAGGCGGCCACGCAGCTCGTCCATCACGGGCTGTCAGCTGCACCTCCCTGTCAGACGGGGTGCCATACAGGATTAATTACCCTGAATCAACAGCCCCAGCAAAGCACTCATCATCTTCCAGTCACTTTTCATTTGTAACTACTAAACTTATCTTCCCCAACAAGGAAGGTACGTCCTCGGGAACACCCGCAAGTGTGATTGGAAGCGTGATGGAAACCTTAGGGTTCAGCAACTGCAGGTGGTCACCCTGGTGCTGGGGGAGATGGGAAGAGCACCCATGTGCCCTCTCCACCCCCAGCTAGCCCGCAGGCTGACCTGCCATGGGGTTGGGTAGGCTGTCCCACGTCCAGCTGGAGTGGGCTCTTCCATGGCTGGGTAATGGAAGTGCAACGTGCCCTGACACTGAAATGAGGGAAGAGGTCCCAGAGCAAACACCTATATTAAAGATGAACAGTTGCTAAGTCCAAATGCTACATACCTTGAGCTTGAGACTCCGGAATGGCTGAAGGCTTGAACGTGTTCGATTCAGGGGCCTTTTTGGTGATGATACAAAGTACAGAGGATGCCGGGATGATTCTCCTGGAGTGCCCAAAGGGTTGTGCTGCCCGGAGCAGTCACCAGGCAGCAGCTGAGGTGGTGCCAGAGCAGCGCAGCAAGAGGAAAGTCCTTGGCCAGTAGTGGGGACAGCAGCACGAGGAAGACAGGGTGCAAAATGCAGAGGAGCTCTGGGTGGGCTCTCAATTGGCATCGGAAGCTGCTGTCATTCAACATGCTTTGAATCTACTGGGGTTCATTTAGTTTTAACTAGGAATGAGAACAGTAATGTTATTTTTACTTGCTATTGCTTTGTTACACTTGCCATCTAACTTGATTCATGGTAATCCTTTTACTGCAGCCATCTGCCAATTTGCAGTAAATTACTCAGACATGCTGAGCCTCTTTGGTGGCACTAGAATGTTAATCGCAACCATCTAGGCCTGCTCTCCATCAGCCAGAGCAGTGTGTGCCCTTTCCTTGTCACTGCTGAACACATTTCCCAAAATGTGCCCTTGTACCCAACTGTACAAGGCTTTCTTTGGACATATCAAGAACACCTTATCCTTCCTTTCTCAGTGATTAAGCAGACGCTGGGATATGCTACACTGATTTTTAGCTGAGGTTAAATGTATTTTTAGCTACAGCTTATTGTACATTTCTGTAAAAAGGCATCCTTTTGGTATAGTTATTTTCCCCATATCATTACAAAGCAATATGGATTTCCAAACCTCCAAAGACTAATGTGAATAGTGCTCTGGATACTTAAATTCATTTACTGCTCATTCAGTTAATGAAAGTGCAGATTCACTCCTTGCATTGCAGCTGTTCAGCGCCTGCTGTGCCTGTGCCTGCTCCCTCATTTGGAGAGACAGGTTATGATTTACATCCATGGAGAAGTGGAAAAGATTTTTTTGTCATATTTTTGTCATCAGCAGTTGGAGGCAGTCTGCAATTGCAGACCCTTCTAAAGAAAACAAAGAGTTTTCTCATGTCAAAACACGGCCAAAACTTTGCCGCTGACTAAGCAGATGTCTTCCACATGAAGGGGGTCTTCAGAGATGAAGTGGTAACTAAAGGCTGTCTCGTGCAGCAGGCGTGCCAGGAACCGGGCTGACATCTGGAGCTGAGCTGTGAGGGGCCAGCTTTGTTCTGTCAGCAAAACTACCCTGAAATATAGGGGTGCATTCCTGCAGAATCAGAAAGCCAGGACAGCTATGATTCAGTGATTAGGGCCTGCAGAGCATATATCCACCTAGTTTTGTTTTAGCTTTCTGATTTAAACTGTTTTGGCATAGGGTGGTGCAGAAGAGACTGGCTTCATTTAATACTCAACAACATTGAAACTCCAGTGACATCTGAATAAATTCATCCTCAGCTAAGTTCCCACCCTGTACAAAGGAAGGCTTTGGGCATGCAAAACAAGAAAAGCTGCTCTGGCCCAACACACAAGATAAACTGGATTCATTAGTTCTATCTTTGTGTGTGCTTCTAATCGTGAATGACTTCTGTTCCAGAGATGCTGTCTGGGACCGGAGGGTTGGATTAATCCCCAACAGTCCTCCACCAGCTCTGGTCAGGAGGCTCTATTCACAAAAGCGTTTCACTTCCTATAATTCTCTTTCATAAAGCCACTGCTAACCCCAAGCAAATCACACTGAGTCGGCAAGAGTGCCCGAGAGGCTGAGCAGGAGACGCTTCTCAGCCTTAATTCATGGCGTGGATTATTGACACATCAAGGTTGTCTAAAAGGCTTAGTTTGCCCTAATGCCACACAGCCTCCCGCTACTTGGAACGCCGTGAGACCTACACAGATGTACATTATGGGATTTTCAGTGTTTGAGGGGGAATAAAAGGAAACAGCAAATGCTTTCCAGCTGGCTTATTTAAATGCTCTTCATCTTCATCTGAGCCATGTGCAGGTTAATTTCAGCTGATGACAGATCCCTCATCCAACTGTCGCTCCAGATAACACGAAGCGTTACACTTAGCCTGCAATGAACCTGAACAAGGGAACATTCCTGAAATCATATGTCCGCGTGACTGCAATCAGATCTTCCTGAAACATATTAAGTACAGAAACAAGGCTCAAGGTTTGAACCCACAGCCTTAAACTAATTACACCCTTTCATACGGAAAGCACCACGAGTTGAGTACGGAGGGAGTTAACACCTTCGGGACCAGCTGGTTTAGGTTGTGCTATCTACATCCTGCTGCTTACCATGAGAGATAGGCTGGCTGCTAGAGCTAAGTGCCAGATACAGGCCATATGGCAACGATGCAATGTACAATTAAGAATAATATATACACAGAAAATTAATGTCCCACACTTGCCAGAGGCTCCCCACACACAGAAGAGGAAACAGAATGGACCCCACAGTCCTCCAGCCCATTAAGCTCATTTTCACATTTCTGGTACCCACCAAGCTCTCGATGTACAGCGGCGTTATGCACTGTGGAGAGGAGCAGCCAGCGCCTTGGGATCCTGTCCCTCATCGCCCCGGCTCACAGCCCTTCTTCCACCATGAGGTCTGGGCCAGGCGCCTGCTCAGCGCCTCACAGCAGCCCCGTGCCATGATGGATGTCCTGTGTCACCGCGCTCACTGGGCACCACCGCCCTGCTGCCATGACCAGGACCCGGTGCATACATAATGGGGACTAGACCGATAAATCCATAGGGACCAGAGGCACAAGGACCTAAGTACATAAATATGAACCTGAGAAAACAGGAAAATTTAAACCAAGCAGTTCTATTACTTATTGGCATTATTTTCAAAAGTTGTAAACTTTCCATGAGCATTTAAAATGAAATTTCCAGAAAACATAAAGGCTCCTGAGACAATCCCTCTGGGATAAAAAGTACAGGATGGAAATAAAGTGTTTTTTACTTGCCATCTTCTCTAGTTAATGAAAAAAAAAAAAAAAAAAAAGGTACTTTCTTTTTGGTTTTGTTCAGCAGGTTTTACCTATACACTCTTATAAAATAGGGAAGATGTAAAGTTTTTCATCTGTCAAGGCAGAAGGAAACTTACAGTATATTAATTATGGGGCTAGACAAATATGCTCCGATAGGAAAGTGAAGAGTTTAAAAACAATTCCTCCCAGGACAAACTAACACCCGTTTGCTTCCATCTGCAAAAAGAGCACCACACCTCACTGCAGGTCCTGACTGTACGTGTCACCTCTGGTATCTCCTCCTTCGGTGTTTTCCTCATGGAAGTTTGGCAGTCACTCCAGGCATGATGTTAACCTTTCCAGCTACAAGTAGAGGCAGAATCAATTTTTATACCTTACACAAAAATGAAATGCCAGTGGTTTTCTAGATCATTTGTCTAAATAATAAATATTAATGAACTGATTTAGGCCTACAAAGATAAAACCTCTGCAATGCAATTAGCCAAGGCAATTATGAGAACAATAACACACAACAAAATGCAAAACCCTTTTTATCAATCAGTGCTGACGTCCTTTCATCAGTGCAGTCAACAGTGATTCATAACGTGCCAAACCAAAGAGCTACTGTCACTAATTAAGGTGAGACATCCTAACAGAGAAGTATGGAAAAGATCTGAAAACAGGAAACCTGAAAAACATCATAAATTTCAAGCCAAACATGCTCACGTATAATTCAAAAAAACAAGTCCAAGTGGACTATAATGAAAGTGCGTGGATAGACAGAAACAGAGGGAAAAAGCTGCAGCACAGATAATTTTACCTCCAGCAGATAGCTGGGGTCAGCTTGCTGCAAAGCGATGAGCTCCAGGGGAAGGAACAGCTTTTACAATTACCACTTTGTCATGCTCTTCATTAAATAATTCAAGAACATATAACACCATTTGCTTATTTTAAGATTAAATTGCGAAATAAATCCTCTGAGGCCAAAGCAATATTGCAGCACCATTGATGTACCCCCATAGTTCCCTTTATAACTCCAGGGCATCAGATCTCATTATAAACAGCCACGTATTTTTAAATGCCCCATCAAAGCTATTGTTTTAGGAACTCTGACTGATGACTCCATGGTAATAAGTGATGTGCTCCAAGGAATCCAGCGTCAGCATAAAGGAGACAGGATGACACATCGTCCTGACCGTCTGGGTGAAGCCGGGCACCGGGCATCCTGAGGCAGGCTGGGGAATTCCCCTCACGGCAGCCTCAGGGTGGAACAAATGGCACCATTAGGCAAATGTGCTGCTGAACAGCTCAGGGACCCACAAGGTGAGGTGCAAACCTCAGGGCATGCTGAGGCCGGGCTGAGCAGGGCCACAGGGGCCAGCTGACAGTGGGCTGGCACATGGCAGTGCCCCAGGCACCTGCGATGCTTTCACAGCATTCAGCCCTGGTGGAAGACACACCAGGCACTGCTCTGGGCTGGGTCCGTCAGCTTTCCCTACACTCCTCTGAGAGGGATGGGCACTCAGCACAGACTGAAATTTCATTCCATGCTTAACTAATTAAAACAAATACACCATAGCATACATGGGCGTCACGGACTTTGTATCGAGCAAGTGTTCATTCATGCTCCCTATGGAAAGGAGAGGAAGAGCTATCAGGGCCTGCTGAGGGGGCTCCTGCCCTCGCAGCCCACAGATGTCCTGCAGGGCCGGGCAGGGCAGGTCCAGCCCCTGGGACGGGATCCCCAAGGCGCCTGCACCCCTCTGGCTCTGTGAGGCCGGCAGCACAGCCCCGCTGCTCCCAGCCACACAGCGATCTTCTGCCCGCATGTCCCACACAGTGCTCGAGCTCCGAAATTTGTGAGCTCGCTGTCATGAGATACAGGCAAGCATGCAAACAGGGGAAGGGTAATCTGTCTTTATGGAAAAGGATAGAACGGAACAACTTTTCCAACCTTAATGATTGTATGATTCCATGATAACTTACCCTGAATTAATCTGCCCTTAAATATTGTTAACAACAGAATGGCTCATGACAGCAGTCATTAGGTTACGTGAGGTCTAATACCATTTCTTTGAAAACCCATAATTAAACAGGTATGGCAACAGATAATGTAAAACATTAGCTTTAGACTACGTGACTAAACGCAGAAAAGCAAACGTGCTGCTCTTGCTATGACAATGCATAGTCTGTCTTCGCCATAGCGAATATGGGCCAAGTAATGGGAAGTTTGGATCGCGTGGCTTTGTTTTTCCGAGAGAAACCTGGGAGCATGAGGCCAGCAGAAGTGTTCCTCGTGTGCTCCCTCTGCCAGCAAAGACCACGTGAACTCGCGCTGCGGCGCGCTCCCTCCCGGGGGACCAATGATCCTGAGACCACACAAACAAAGCTGGAAAGCAGATGTAGCTCTTTGTGCCTCGCAGAAATGCAGAACAATGAGAAAGTGGAGCATGCAGACACAGGCTGCCACTCGGATCTTTGTAACTTCGCAGGGCATTGTTCTCTAATTTCCAGAAGTGCGATAAATCAGTGACAGAGCTCCCTCTCCAACTGCGGTGCTGGAGGTGGTGATTTGACAAGAACAAGATGAGTGAGAACATGGAAGTATAATGGGACCCTGTGGCAGAAAAGGTGCAATAGCCATATGACCACAGACACAGAAAAAGGGCGAGGAAACAATTCCTTCAAACTGGGAAAGGGAAGGGAGAAAAGAAAAAAAAAAGTATTTGTCATCAAATTAACACTAATCCCAAGGCCCAAACTGCCAGTAAAACATTTTGCAACGACTCCTCAGTGGGCATGAATGGCACTGGGGAATAAGCGATGGGGTTTGCAGACTGCAGAGAAACACGGTCAGAGTCTGGCCCAGGGCGTAGTAACAGAAAGTCTCCTCACAGCTGTGCAGCAATCTATATGAAATATCAGTGACTGCAGATGATGAAACTGGTTTAAAATGAATAAACAAACGGGCCCATACAGGGCTGCGATGGATCATTTAATATGAGAGGGCTGCTGGGAGGATATTTAAACTGAATATCATGATGAAATGCAGCACCAACAGCCCTACTCCTGGACTTTTTATTACAGTGCATTTGGACAGAACTTCAGGTTTCTCGTTTGCTGAATGACACATAAGGCTCTATTGTAAAACTATCTTGAATAGTGATTGCTGTCATGTTGGCCATAAAGAAAAGCTGAAAAGAGCAGTAAGAGAAGCACACTGAATTGGCAGAACGGATATCTGACTTTTCATTTCTCCACCTCTAACATTACATTACCTAACCGACACAGGTTCTGCAAGTCGATAATTTTAATGGAGAAACAGCCAACTACAGGTTAACGCACTGTGCTCCACCTGGGTCCAGTGAAATCAAAGACACAATTCCCACTGCCTTCAGCAGACAGGATCATGCTCTGATGGCCTGATCCAAAGACAACAAAAGCCAATAGAAGATGCTCACTAATTTCAGCAGGCTTTAGATTGGGTCAGGATCTCAACCAGTTGCCACCTCACGTATGGGAATTTTGACATCAAAGTGGCAATAAACGATCTTTTTCCCCTCACATCATCGTGGCATAACTGATGAGAGGGCAAGACTTAGAAAATCTTTGCATCTTGGAAACAAGACCTCTAAAAAGGACCATCCACAAGCAAAGTGCTTGGAATGAAACTTAATACTAACCATATGCTGAAGAAAAAAGCAATGCTGACTCATAGAGGAAGCTGCACTAAGGACTCATGCTCCACTGCAACATGCAGTCAGCATGTAAATAAGCATCTTCTAAGCAAAAGAAGTCTTTGCACTCACCTGGTTTGTTGGAGAGAGAAGTGTATAATCAATACCAGAGCCAGAGGTACTACGTACGATATTGGAGGTACTACAATGGGAAGATTGAAAAGTTGGTGAATGAGCAGAAAAACGAAGCTACGTCTGAGTACTGATCTTCTTCTTGCATCTTAAAGCTTATTTGATCAAGCAATAATTTGATCTACAAATATAAATCTAATTTCTCCTACAGCCTTGCATAAAAGTCGTGTGCACTGTCATACACTACATCATACAGCCTCTGTGTCTGAATTAATCACAAAGGCCAGAGCTTTGCAGTTTTGCAACCGTTGCATCTTGACAATACAGTTCTGTTTGCACCTGTCTCCACCAGTCCAAGTCACTGGGATGACTGGGGCAGCAAATCAGGGCAATCTTAAAAGGAAGCAGTACAGAAAACAGCTGTAACCAACATTGTTTGGTGATACTTACACACAAATGTTTACACTGTAACCTCTCTGCTGCTCTTCAATTGCCATGCAGTTAAACATTTTGTCACCGCGTTGTCAAGTAGGGGATAGGGCTGGGAGAGGTAAATCCTGCACTACTGTTCTCAGTCTCATTTTGTGCAATTTGTACTCTAAAGGTGCGAAAGCAGATCTACCCCATTTCAAAGCCCATGCTCTGGTCCCTGCTCACTGACACGTCTCTCCACGAAATGGCATGCTCCTTGCTTTGTCCCCATTGGGATGCGATGACAAAGCCGTCAGAGAAAGAGGTAACGAAACTTGCTGAAGCTACGCCGCACACAACGAGTACAGGCTGCAGAGAAGAGCCAGCAGCTAATGAGGAAGTTCATTAGAAGGAGGAACTGGATCTGATTAATTTCTTTGTAACACTGATTGACTTGGACAGCACATTTCACTAACATTTATGTTGCAGTGAAACCTAATTATGATTTCACTGAGTGACAGGATAAATTGACACAAAACATACAAACATACAACCAAGCTTTGAAAGGGCAAATTAGGTGGTTCTTTCTAATTGCTTGGGAACTATTTTTCAGGATTACTTGGGCAGTTCAGTACACATACAACCAGATGAATACCTGGAACAGCATCCCCACGCCCTAGTCAAAGTGCATTCCTGCACTCCACGAGTTGCTGCTGCTGTTGCCTGCCTGCACAAATGAGCCAGATGCGGAGCTGGTTCCTGCCCGACGGGCCCCCCTTATGCAACAGCATCACCTGCCAGGCCTCCTCGGATCCCCAGGGACACATTCAAACGTATTCCATGCTACCAAATCCCTCCCTCTGCTAACCCTTCTGTTCCTTTGGTTGTGACGCTGATCAAGAGATTAAAGACGCCACCCTGCCAGTCAGCTCAGCGAGCAGCAGACGCCTGACTCTCAGAGCTGAAGGTGTTTTCTACAGACTGGCTGAAAAGGGAAGGTGAGCAAGGAGAAGAGGTTCCCTGCAGATATGTGTCATCTTAATGTTTTGGTTTTAGTTTTGACAAAAGCATTTGTGAATATATCAGAGGGAGGAAGAGAAACAAATGCACACAGGATTTAGTAACCTCTGAGGGCACAGAGCA